TAATTTAATTTATATTAAAAATTAATTTTTTTTTTTTAATATTTTTAGACCATGTAATAATATATAGAGTAGAGAAGATTTTTTAATTGGAATATATATAACAAATAAAATTGTCAATAAATCTTACTCGGCGGCCCCGTTGCTCCCGTATTCTTCTGGCTAGGGTGAGAAAAGCCTCCTCGATATTGATATTCTCCTTGCACGATACCTCGAAGAAGGGCATATCGAAATTTTCGGCGATCTTCTGGCCTCTCTCGGCGTCCACGGCGCGATGCGCGGTCGCGTCGCACTTATTCGCTGCCAAAACTTTTACTACGTCCGGTGACGCATTCTATTGAAGTAAACGATGGAATTGCTTATGATTCACGCTTCCATATGTACGATAATTCTATTGCATGCAAATGACTTTGAATCATCGGTTGAAGAAACATTCTTTCCATGAAATCTACAGCGGTCTCTTTGTAAATTTACATCAGAGAGATATTTTTATCAGTTAAATAACTTGCTATTATCGCACCGATTTGCGACTAACTCTTAATTTATCCAGCCACTAAATTTTTATTTCTCCATTTTAAGTATTCGGATTTTATTTAAGCAATCTTTCAACATTTTTAATTCTTTTCTAGACATTAAATTTCTTTTAAGCGATCATTTAAGAATTAATACAGAGCGCATTTATTCTTGGTCGTAATGTTCTATTTTTAGACTTGATTTCGATTTCTTACTTCTTGAATATTTCGCAGCCAATAAGACAGATGGTTGAAACTCTCCAAACTAGTGACGTCGTACATCAAAAGAATACCCATGGCACCACGATAATACGCCGTTGTTAAAGTTCGAAATCTTTCTTGGCCGGCGGTATCCCTTCAAAAAAAGATACATTCACAGACATATGTACTCTCCGCTACTTTATATCTTCGTCTATATATACAACATTTCGTTTTACATGCATTTCATATGATTTATGAAATTCGAGGAACAAAATAGAATTGTCTAACAAAAAGAGAAAATTTTTGTTTCTTTATTCATTGTAATTTGTAAAAATATATTAGTGTTAATCGTAATTAATTATTTATCGAGTACTCGTGAAAAGGTATCGATCACTACTCACCAAATTTGTAATTTAATTGGCGTTCCGTCTAGGTTAATGATCTTTTGTTTGAAATCGATACCTGCAGACACATTTATTATTTATATCTAGCATTATATTTGTATAATATAATACCTTTTCAAGAAACATTTAGAAATTGAGCGAAATTCTAATGCTTAAATAAAACAAGGCACTATATCTCAATTATGTTGCAGCACAAAATTATTAGATGCTATCGCTAATTAGACGGCTATCATGGCAATTTACATGCAAGAATTTCATATGTTCTTCGCGTGCAAGTAGTATAATCAAAACTTTATCGAATTACTTTTAATGGATAATCAACTCGTAAAAAACTGAACTTTATTAAGTATTTTTGAATGAACAAAAATAAATCTTCGCAGAGAGAGAAAGAGAATGTATGTGCTATGATTGTGATAATTTATATCGAGAAGAGTGTATCGCGCAGACATACTTCAATCAAAATTTAAAATTAGAAAGATGCATCGCAAGATCGGGGAGGATATCAGCTGATCGATGTCGATTTAATATATATAGTATATATATATTTTTTTAGCGGAATAAATAGACCGTCAATTAACGGTTAATAAGTAGATTTAAATTTAAATAATATAATTTTTGCGATGGGAACAGTGAGTCTTCTAGAAACGAAACCGATATTAAATTTACAGATTGAAAGATAATCTGTTTTTCGTATTATTATATTATTCTAAAAATATTGCTTTGCATGAAATTAAGACATTTGTATTTAAGAAATAAAGGGACTTTCTTGCACTTGTGTATTCTTTCTAATAATGTGTAAGACGTGTCGGGAACATATGTGACCTCAGCGTAATAGCTGACGGTTAATTAACGACTACCTGTGTCAACGATATACAGAATCTATACCCGCTTATCGTACTCGAAATAAATTTAAACCGCGTGATTTATTTGTTCCAGGAGAAGGCAATCGAAAACTTGATACTAAGACATGTCACGGCGATCATCTAACAAGGAGCCAGTCGAAATGACTTGAGTCACGACCCGCACAACTCGGAGACGGTCATCAGTAACCAGGTAAGTGATTATACTTGCGGGTATCGGATGGTATCTCACCTATCGTCGAGATGTAAGTGTCGTAGTACCGTTCGTCGCAGTAGCGATGCACGATACAGGTCTTGCCGACGTTCGAATCGCCCAACACTAGAACCTTGTACGTGGCTGCAAAATCCAACGCCATGTTTGCCGCGGTGTTCTCGGGTGGTTTTGAACTGTTGTTGGGTCGACAACAGAGTCGTCGGCCGGGGGTTGCTCTTCGCGGACGCGTTGACTCCCGAGGGGGATGGAGGATCGATTCGAGGCCTGCGCTTTAGCCCCCTCACGGCGGGTGTTAAAGGTGCTCTCACAATCGTGTGACTTTTCGTGGCTTACGCGCGACTTTAAGAAGGCCACACACCCTCAAATGCATCTCACGCGCTCGCGCCAAAACGCAGGATGTGCGTATACAGATACATAAAGTTACGCATATATATGTTGATATAGATGTGTCACTTTTTATGTGCGTCGTATTTTATATATGCTGGTACCGGCGCGCGTATAGAAAACATGAAGTCGAGAATCGACGAAGACGGTGTCTATTGGGAGCAATATGCATCTAAAGCCATATACGTGCAATATGTAAGAGAACGCGCAGGATGAGACTTTCTTTTCTATGTTTGCGTTTCACTCGAATATTTCGTCCGAGTCTTTCTAATGCATAATAAATCATTGCGGAATAATTCGGTGGAATTCGGAGAGTCAGGATTCGAGAATCTGCGGAAAGATCTGTGTGTATGTAGATGTGTAATTGCGAGGGGGTGTCAGAAATAATTGGGCAACATTGGAAATTAGGCCGCTTTATTATATTCGCATTATTAATCGGACCAACATATTTTTGCTAACTGAATTCGTCAGTGTTTTTGCATAGACAATCGCTTTTATTTCTCTCCCGTTCTTTTTTTCATTTCATATTCGATAACAAAATACTATCAGAATCAAATTCTTAAATTAACAATTGTTAGACCACTTAGCACAATCGTTTATTCTACACGTCGTAATACTATTTTGTCTTTTTTATGAGACGAGATTTACATCTTCATTTTATGTACGCTATAATTATCTCTAGAATTAGAATTACATATCTACTCAAATACTTTTCGGGAATGGCTTTGCAGCGAAAAATATATCTTACGATAAATACGCTACAATAATAAACTTAGTTTTGATGCTTTGGTTGATGTAAGCTGCGTTCATTAATCCTTTCACATTATCCATCAGGATATATGTATATCTGCTTCACATATGTATATAGATAACATTGCACATAAACAAAGATTATAGAAATCGAAGAAAATGTGTTTCTATTTATCAGGTTAAAAATGAAATCAACATGTTAAATATATTTACATTAGAAAACTAACATTTTCGCAAAATTATAATTATTATTAATTATTACGATCTAATTTTTTTTCTTTAGTAAATCAATATTTTTTAAGCATATATATCTTTCTCTCTCTCTCTTTCTCAGTGTTTGCCGTTAAAATACGCAAAAACTGCTTTTGCTTGCAATTGTTTATCGCCATAGTTAACAATAATCATATAAATAATATATTATGTGTAGGCACTTTATAAGCATTGTAACTTCTATGAGAATTAGGACACTAATTTTGGTTAGCACTGCTTGTAAGTTGTACAATCTTGTCTGTCAAGATATAACGTTTTGTTTATATAAATTATCTACGTGATATGTCCGCCATGTACAATATTTAAATTTATTTAGAGTAATTTTAGACGCGCTATCGTTTGCAGTCTATAACGTATTCTAAATTTTGATGGTTTCAATATCAATAAAGTCTTCGGCTATTAATGTGGTTTCTTTCGTTCGCACAAATCTCGTATAAAGACTCGCTAGAAATTTAAGTAATTAACTTATCATAAATATATAAATATTTCATAAATAAATAAAATCGAGTTGTATAAAGAGTTGTACAAATACAACAATAAGGTACAGAGTCAACCTCAGTCGAATCGCTTTCAGAACACATTCCTTAACGATATACTATTACGGGACATGTTTATAATGTTAATAAAATGCATACCGTGTTACAATCTGCGACAACAATCTTATCGCAGGGACGAAAAGACTTGGTGTTTACATTAGACCGAATCAGACGTTTCGCGGAACTCCGCTTTTAGGAAGAACATAGTAGATTAATTTCAAAGCCATTCTTGTATTGAGGAAGAATGGGATTAAGTAAAATTTGCTATCACCAATGGTACGCTCTTCTCAATATCGGATTACAATAAAAATGACCAAATGCATAATCCGATTACAACGATACTTGACATGTATGCTAAAGAATTGGGAAGATGAATATTATAAATGCTCTCCCATTTAATCAGCCACAATGGAACGGCGACGTGGAGGATATCCGGAATCATGAACCCCAGATCGCGTATGACCTTTATACAAGACGCTTGTTATGAGATGTTTCTTTCATCTGATTATTTTGAATTCTTACCTGGTGTGCATGGCCCTCTCCTCTGACGACATTCACGAAGAACTGATCCCATCCACCAGCCATAATGTGCAAAAGGGCTATTGCGGCTATACCAAACGCCTTTCTGTGAGTTATAGCATTTTTTTTATCCGCCAAATGAACGACCCAGGCGGTGGATATCAACTCGGTGACGGAAAAGAACAATTGATGGTACCACTGGGAGTAGAAATCGTCATTCCAGTAATTAATGTAAACCCACCATGAATAATAATTGGAGAACAGTGCGGTCGAAAAAAGAAGCATCATGGACTGTCTGAGTCTCTGCTTGATTGCTAGTCTTGCCAAGTGCTTCATTGTTTCGTAAAATGCAATCACTCCAATGACTACAAGCATCCATATTTTCAGCATATTTGAAGTGGCATTGAAGTACATATGCTTGTAAGGAGCGATACCAGATTCATATGAGCCTGCAATAGAAAAATTACAAAGTATAATCTGTAACTTGCACAATCGCAGAATTCGAAAAATATTCATAAAATCTTTTTAGAATTTTTTACCTTTAAATACAGTGTCCCAGCACGAACAAGAGCAGTATCGTTTATCCACAACTCGTGAATAATCTTGCCAGAAATAATATAAAGTTGCGATCTGCAATGGTGGGATTGTTAGGGGTCCCATAATGCCCACAAATCTTGAGCCACATGTTGCAATGTTTTTGCACATAACGCGCTTTAACATCTTTAATACAGCCATTTTTCTTGATTGAGATGTATAGAAAATGAATAGAAGACAGATGCTTAAAAATTCATTTCATGAATTAAAATTATCCCCCTTATCAAGTATACCGCTGCCTTACAATAAGTAATAGTGTTACGTTACGCTGTGCATTGTCTCTTGAATATTCAAAGATACAACACACAAGAGCACTTTAACAGTAACTAAAAGATATACAACTCTGTATTCTATACAAACAATAAATAACTCTATATATAACTCTCACTTGAAAAATGTTATCATTATCTACACTTTATATAAATGATATCTCTTGTAAATTATATTTTTATCTATCTTTCATACAAAATCCTAATTTTTTTTATTAACATTTGCAGAGCCATTTTCTTGAAATTAATATATAATATAATAGACAAATTCTACAACGTTGACAGATATATTTTAATTCTCCAAATTAAACAAGTCTTTAGGTATCGAGCACCGGGTAATAAACAAAAATTTAAACGAAACTGCTTAACACATATTTATTTTAACAACGCGTATTTATTTCACACACAATGCGCGCATTATTCGCGCAAACTGGTGTGGATTTTGGATTTTTTGGCTGTTACGTCATCGCGATTAATCGGGTTTATTTAGGCAGCAACTGGCTGCACGAGCAGCCGTCGTCTCGGTGCTCTCCGAGGAAACACCTTCGACTTCACATGTCAATGAAGTCGATTTACGACTTTACGAGAGCGAATTCTTTAACCAAGAATGGACGGCCTCTCGTACTCGTAAACAGCTGTCTCTTGTACGAAGCGCCATCTGCGTACGCTAAGTTGCTGTCAGAAACTTTGTTCTGAATGGCAAGAAGTAATTGATGCAACCCGACTGCAGATTCGAGTTAACTTTAGTCAGTGCTATTTTTATCGCGTAAATATAATGTTAAATCTCAAAACTGCATGAATTTTTCTCCAAAATAATATAGATTAATATATTTATAAGAAATTAGATTGAATTAGATTATTATTATTAATTAAAAACAAGATTTTATTAAAATTCCTAAAATATCGACTATTGTTCATTCAGCGTTCTGTTACGTAATTAATAATTTCTATAAAGCTGTCATACACTTTTGTTTTGTGATTCTTCATCATTTTCAATGCTAACCTATGCTAAAATTATTCGAAAATTATGAAACATTATTGATTAAAAATTTTCGATGTCATCTGAATATTGTTACAATTCGTTACACAGCTTAACCTGAAACTTCCACTTTTTTTATTGAATTCTACAATAAAGAAGATTTCTTATAAGGATATGAAAATATAACTATTTATTGAAGAATTTATAAATAAAGGTGATGTGATATATACATATATAAAATCTTTTCTAACATTTATTATATTTACAATCTACTTCTCTTAACTTTTAATAGATATTCTTACTTTGAATTATTTACAATACTAAAACATAAAAAAATGCCACAAAAGTACGAAACTAAAAGCTTCCGGTTCTGTCGTTGTTGCTATAAATGGCGTTGCCAATGTCTGATACCACGAAAAAAGAAGCCACATCCGCCCTTTAATAGTGGATCGAAGCTTAACAGCGATCTGGGTTTGCATCCCAAATTAAAATCATTTTCAACAACGTCACCAGCTGTGGGTTCTTACAATCCTCGGCCAATCGATCGCAAATACGGAACTATTAGGTAAATGCCGAATTTAATTTATTTTGAGATAACACGAGAGAGAGAGGGAGAGAGAGATTCTGTAAAATTTTAAAAAAATATAAAAAAAAGAAATTACAATGCAGTTGGCAAAGGCAACAAGAAACGAAAGAGTTCTCTGCCATGACGGGTGGCAGGTTGACGAAGAAAATCACGGTCGAGAAGAGCTTGATGAGGACCGAATGTGGACCTGGAAGTCATGAGATAATTCGCTGGCCAGAGAATATTTTAGTGGCACCTTGTAAGGGTTTACAAAGGGACGTCGCTTTTGGTACCATTCCGCGGTTTGAGCCGAGTTATAAATCCGTCACGCCTGGTCCAGGTCAATAAAATAAAAATACTCTTTTAGAAAATAATCGAATTATGCTAATGCAGGATTAAAAAATAGATTTTCTTTGCGATATATTTCTATCTTTATATATTATATTAAAATTAAATTATTTTGTTATAATTTTGATTAGCAATCATCTTGTGTTAATATGATTGTCAATTTCTTTTTTAAGTCATAGTATTTCTTTGTAATTTTTGCGTTCATTTTTGATCGACATTCTTCTTAAGGATACACGCTTCGAACGCACAATCCTTATTATTATTTGGACCAGAAGAAGCTGAAAGGTTATTCTCGTATACCTTCTTTTGAATTTGATGGTCTGATACCTAGATTCCGAGAAACCAGAAGAAGTTGGTCTCTACCTTGTACTAGGTAAAAAGAGGAGAGTCGTTAAATGCAATAGCTTATTCTTTTTTAAACTATATATATATATCTCATGTTTCTCTACGGTTATTAAGATTGCAAAAGAATTTATTTTGCATAATAGGTACAGCGTAAAGCATCCAGACTCACTGCAAGCTTTTCTCGAAAAAGTCACGAGCAAAAGAGGACCTTACGATCTCTTTACAGGTATTAAAATAATATTTTTCTAAACTTTATGAATTAGTATAGTATATGGATTAAATTTTTTATGATTTCATTCATGTTATTTTGTATTTATATCTTCCTTTGAAATATATTTATTGATTTGAAAATTATATTTATATATAAAATAGAAAACTCTCTTTCTCTCTCTCTTTCTTACGCATTTAAAAATTTTATCACATCAAGTATAAACTTTAAATTAACTTGAGGGCCAAGAGATGAGACTACTATGAAAGGATATTGGACACATCCAAAGTTAGAATTTGACGGCGATTGGCCGCGGAAATTGTCAGGTGAAGTGGAAAAGCTTTCGAACAAATGCAACTATTTTAAAGGAAAATGGTCTATAAATCCTAGGTATTAAAATAAGCTATAGAAGTAAGAAAAGATAAGAATAAAAATGCATTCTAATTACAATTTAGATATATATATCAATATACAATTCAATGCGAGAAATGCAAAGGTTACTTCAAATGAAAAAATAATTTTTTAAAGATTCACAAAGAAACCGGTTGCAAGGATGCTATTACAAAATATCAGCACGTGTTACAAGGATCCCAATGAACCGGGGCCTGGGCATTACGATCCTCGGGCGCCGAAAAAATCGAGTACGCTCAAAAGATATCCCTTTGATAGCAACATAGAATATATACGACCGCTTCCGCCAAGCGATATTCTTCCTGGACCAGGAAGATATAAGATTAAACAAGAACGTCCTATAAAAGGATATGGATGGACGTGTGTTTTCAAGAGCAAGGTGCCCAGAACGATCGGCGCGTTTATTCGACCGTCATATAGCGATTTTTAATAAATATCTCTGCAGGCATAATAATACAAAACATATCATATATATCATCGGAATGATTTCTTTATAGAAAACTTAATAGAATTGAAAAGAATTTAGTTACATATGCACAATTAAATGAATAAATAAAATCAAAATATATTTATGAAATTATATCAATATTTTACCATAAATTCATTTTATCGCAATTATTACTTATCATTCCTGAGAACTACTTCGATATAAAATTTACACGAATTGCGGTAATGATAACGTGTCGGCGCGATGAGAGGCCGAGGATTGCTCTACGCTAATTTAAAGATCCAACAATCCCATCATGGGATCAGCTGGAATCGGTGTGCCGATTCGTCGTTTTTCCTTCGACGGTGTTCCTCCGATGCGAGAGAGGCGCGAGATTTCGTGCCAGTTGGAAAATGGTAACAGGAGAGCCCTTCTCGAGATAATGATGCACCTAGTGATTATCCCGGCTGCACCGAATGCATAATTCATACGTGTGCTACGAACTTTGAACCGGCTTCGCGGGCGCATCATCTATGCCGGGCGCACGTAATTGCATTTAACCGTTTTTCAACGACCGCCCCTTTCATTTAAACCCTTACCGCACACGTCATTCGTTTGTTGTGGGACGCCCCGGTCTTAATTACCGCAATAAAACGAGACGAAATTTATTGGATCGAACGGCGAAAAATCGCTGCATCTGCAGCGGTAGCAGCCGTCGCATTTATGCAACTTGTATCCATATAACGCGAGAATCAATAAATCATAAAAGAAAGAAAAGAAGATACTTTTGTTCGGAAAATGTGTGTGTTTTAACATGTTTTTAACGCGACACGGAAATTTCCGAAATTTGTTCAAGCAATTAAATTTGTACTTGTGTATATAGTATATAAAAAATGTGGACGGTATTAAAGAACCGGTAAAAAATATCAATTTTATTTTAAGTTAAGGTAAAATAGGAAACACATATACGAGAAAGAAATTTTTTTTTTATAAAAATTATATGTATTTAAATATGTAAGAATTTCACAAAGATATCTCGCATATATTTAAACAGAGAACCGGAAATGTCACGCTCGCGCGCGTAAAAAAAATTAGGAAAATTTCTCGCAGCGTGCCATATGGCGGATAATTTTGTAGATTGATGGAGGATTTCACGGAGCAACTGACACCTAGTATGTGCGTTCCCATAAATGGATTCCACGCGGTTCTCTGTCGTATGGGATGTTAGCATTAGTTACAAGGGCGAATTAATTGGGACGCAATATTAGGCGTTAATAGCTTTCTAATTTACGGTCGACGCCGACGCGTCTCTCGCAAGATTTATGCCATTGAGCTCGTATATTGAAAATGATAGACTGTGTCACGTCAATATAAAATCTTTACAATATAGACGATGATTTTTCTATCTTGAGAATAACACTTAAAATCGAGCAATTTATTCTATGCTACAACTTGTATCTTATTAATCTTTGTTAATTTATTTATAATTATGATATGTTTTTTTCCATATAGTCTAAATATATTTCCCACAAAATTCGGAATGCTTGTTTTTTAAATATAAAAAGGAGCCTTATTTTAATTATTAGAATTATTTTATATTTTTTTATGAATATATATAATATAATTTTCCATATATATATTTCCTATAGATATATCTTTCTGAGCAATTTTAATTTAATTAATTTTCTCATTTCGTTCTTTTTCTATTCGATTTTTTCTTGTTTTTTTGTTCTTATCTCTATTTTTTTTTTACTTTTTTTGTTTTTGAATCATATTTTGTACAAGTTATCGATAGGTTCTCAGAAATAGAAAATTGCTCGCCGGAGTATCATACGCTATGTGATCTCTGTCAGAATATTTCCAAACATTTTGAAAACATCTTAATCTCGCTTCGCGAATGGTCCATAAGTGGGTCTCTTCGTGGGACGTCTTGAGAAATTATTTGTCACCCCTTCTCTCTTGCTCTCTACGATGTCGCGTGGCACAGGACCTTGCACAATTTTCCCTTCATCGTTTTTCTTCGAATGAATGAATCTCGTAAATCACCAAGACAAAAGATGAATACATCACATATAGTAACGTTTAATCTTTTTCCCATTATATTCTACTTCACTACTGTTTGCATCAAAGAAACGTAAATCTTTGTCCGATTGTGCATCTCGATCCCATGTCTTCTCATACTCTTTACTTCTTCGTGCTTTTTCTTTTCTGTACCATCGTTAACTTTTACACCCTCCTCTGCTTCAGAAGAAGGGCTTTCACTGAAGATTTAACATCGAACCAGGCACGTGCCCTTCTAATATTATATGGCCCACCCGCTAGTACACTAACCCAGAGACCCAGTGGCCCTAAACTTTCAAAAAGTGTGCCAACCACAAGCACGTCCTTTCTTCGATATTTTTCACTTCTCACAATGGCGTTTCTCTCTCACAATAAGAGTCTAGACTGAAGTAACGTCATCGTTGTACGCGCTATATGATAATACATTGCTATTGATGTTCGCAAAAATTCGAGACGCATAATTTCTCCGAACCGGACGTTCAAGAGTGCCTATAGAATGATTCCTTATAACTTGAATTTCGAAGGTCGTCACAGCGGGAAGAACGGAAGGAAGTCCAACAAATCATCATGGCTAATGATAAGACATATTTTTCAAGATCCAGTTAAGAGGAAACGATACCTGGGGAAACAACAAAAGTATCGAATTATTGTCGATTAAAGAAATTGAAAGTTAAAAAAATGTAGATAGAAATATTGCAAGAAAAAATGATGATTCTAAATCCCAAAAATACACTGCTGAAATGAACGTACATAAGTGGAAACTCGATCGAACGGAAGCGGCGGTCACGCACAGTAAATTATCGATGCACACGTGCCTTTTGTGAAAAAATTCCGTCCCATCGGGTGTCCCGCCCGCACCCAGAAAGGCCGCTATCGAGGGAGAAGGTGTGATATGTTACAGCTGGTTAAACAGCTGCGGGGTGGAAGGATAGCCGTGAACCGCCGCGACAAATTTCGGTACCAGCCATCGGAAGGCCGCGTATGAAACCGGAGGAGAGATTGCCCTCTTTTTTTTTCCTTCTTTCTCGCGAGCTTTCGGATTTATTTCTGGACGCTCGCGCGCGTGTGATAAGATCGACGGCGAATTGTAAAAGTGCGAAAGTGACAATTTATTAATGAAAAATACGAGATATAAATCAATCTTCAATTTTTTTATAATAATAATATTTCGATTATAATTTTATTCTATCTCTAGTAATATATAAGTCTTCAGTCGAATTTGCTTAATTTTACATATACTTTGCTACATTTTGACGATTTTTCTCATGATTATCTAGAAAAAAGCAATTCTTTTACAGTCTTTAAATCATTATTTTTTCAATCATTTAATCCTTTTCAATAATTTTCTATTTTATAAAGAGTTGCCTCAAATTTGGAATATATAATGACACAATAAATTATTCATAGTAAAACATGAGACTTGAGATAGGCCTGAGATGAGCTCTCGTGCCTATGTCAAGTCTTACTTAAAACCTTTATCGATATGCATAGAAAAATATACTTTTTGATTTTACAGTAATTATCTTGTGGTCATCGAGAAATATCTTCTTTTTCATTGATTTTCTGAAATTCTATTGCGTCGATCTCGCGCAAGAAGACGCAAAAATATTCTGGAAAGGTGAAAAAAAAATTTAAGCACGAATAGATGACAAATAGACGAGAAAAATACAGAGATGTTCGAATGAATAACGTGAATGAATACGTCACGTGAAATTAATCAGTGGCGTCGAGTCGTTATGTCCAATTAAATTTGTAGGCGATCCAATTGCAAGTTCGAGACGTACAGCGTGTACATGTAATTAATAAGCTTGATAGTAAAGATAATGAAAGAATATAATTTTTCGGCGATGGAAGTATAATTTTAATAAGGGTCGCTTTCTTCGTTTTAACGCTTTAACGCGTCTCAACGATAAAATATTAATATTAAATTAAATTTTCGAAGCGACAGTTTATTAATCAATCTTATATTGACGATTCTTATTTTTATTATTACAATATCGCTTGTTTGACTCGACGACAATTCAACGGCCGCCGTATATTTAACAACAAGCCTAATAATTACGATAACGTCGTTAAATATATCGTCAATCTCAAACGAATATTTTGTTTTAACGCAAATGATTTCGTTTGTTCGACATCTTAAATTTGCGTGCAGGGTACGCGGACAATGATACTCTCGTGTGTAAAAAGAAAAATAGTTATTACACATACTGCATAATCAAATAATAATTAGAATCTCATTTATAAGGAAAAGGAAGTAATTTACTTCGCATCCTAGAATATATGCGTGTTCTCTTAGGATACAATATAATAATAACAGAGAGAGATGATTAATTGCGTTAGTTTTAAACTGTTATCTTCACACTCTGCCCCGTGCGGATAATTTCGCGCATAAATTGTTACGTATAACGGTCATAAAAATGGATCATTACTGCGGTAATAGTAACAAGAGAGAGATGATATCCGTTCGCACTCTCATCTATCTCGAAAGAGAACTGCCGTAAAAAAAAATCTGTCGAGTCAGGGTTTCGAAAACGATGGGGCGAAGTTTAAAAAGGATGCCGCAACACCGGTAGCCGCGCTATATTACGTTCACCTATACACGCTTGAGTACTGTGTACTGTGAATCCTCGAAGGATCGCGTGACATCGAACCTATCTTACGGCATCTACACGGTTAATGTGTCGCCATTGTGCCGCCTGCGGCTTACCATGCTAAATAGAGGTCGTCATGTACACCGTAGAAACGCCACCACAGATTGCCATAAATCATATAATACACTCTCCTTTTGAAAAAAGAGGTAAAGAAAAATTTTTTTTTTTTTTCATACATTATTATTATTGTGATTTATTTTATTAATGGTTGAATTAAGAGAGAAAGATAATTTAAATGAATTAATTTATATTAATTAAAATAGTACATGAGACCTGGATAATTTAATA